ATTAAAAAATTTAATTAATAGTATATAAATTAAAATTATCTTTAAATTCTTTAAGACCAATTAGGACTTATTAGGACATTTACCAACCCTACGTTAGATGAGATAGTGAAAAGACTTAGTTTAGAGTAGTGATCATGCAAAGCGTCTTTAGTCTTGCTCGAAAGATATTTTTTCAATTAAAGATACAGTATATATTATTTATGATGCATTCAAGCATTTTTATTATACCAGAACTATTAGAGTGGATTCTATATTTCCTAGCAGTAGATAAGACACTGTATCCTGCTCTATTTGTATCCCGATTATAATACAGATGCAGTATCCCTATTCTATGAAAGCGTATTGAGCTAAAGGGAAAAGACTTATATCCTGAATAATCTCTTTCAAATGATTATAATTACTGTGCAAAGGATCACCTTCGATTTAATAAATTCATAAGGATAGAATGTATAAAGGATCTCTCACGATTGAAAAATTCATAAAGCTAGTACATAGAAAGCAAACGCCAGTTTATTGTTCAAATGTAACTCATCTTGAAATATCATACTACCATTCACTTTCAGATAAAAAAATCATAAGTATTGTACATTCATGCCTAAATATAATCCATTTGAGTTTCAAAAATAGCATAGGATTTAGTAATAGAGCATTAGAACTGATAGCGGGTTCATACACAAATCTGAAAATTTCAATCTGTGTGGTGATCAGTCAGCTGGCTTTAGGAGCTTACATGCTCGAGAAGTGGATGATAGAAATCTATGGAGAATCGCACAGTCATGCCATAAATTAGAATATTTAAATATTGCCTTTCACACAGAGATTAATGAATATTTAATTTGCGATATTATTCGTTCCTCTCCAAAGCTCCAGCATCTTGATATTATCTTTTGTAAAATTACTGATATAACAATCAAAGAAATTGCTAGTTCGTATCTTAATTTAAAATATTTCAATCTGAAAGAATGTGAAAATATTAGCAAAGAGACTGTAGATCAGCTTATTTTACTTAATTCAAATATCGAGAATTTATGGGATCTGATTGATATTATAGCTGAGATAGAGTAAGTGGTAGAGCTATTATCAAAATAGCCTCCAGTTGCTAATATTAGAACTCAGTTTCACCAATCATTCTGACAACCTAATTCCAATATATTTATGACAGTTGACTCTGATGCTGATTATCCCATTATAGCTATAAATAGACGACTACCAAGAAATTATTTTGATAGAATACTAGTCAGTTAAGCAGGATGGTAGAACTCTACTGATCTAACAAATCCGGAGCAGTAATCATTAGCTTGGAAGTTTTTTTTTGCATCTAGATATGTCTTGTATAAGAAAAAAATATAAATTAGCTAACCTGTTCTAGACATTGGCACTGGTTGACACTAGATGGATTTTTGACAAATATTTCATGCAATTGTTGAGAAAAGACCTTCGGAAATAATAGTAGTCCCTTTCTAGTATACCAAATTTTCTTTACTCCTATTTTGTAATATTTCTCTAATATCACACTTGGAATATCTTCTAAGGGACCATGGTATTCCTTAAACTTTCAAAGATATTCTCTTACAGTTTTATTGATCTCTTCTGCCATTTCTTGATTAGTGTAGCTAATAATATTAAGTTTTTCTTGAATTGCTATTATATCCTTTTCTAAATACATAAGCAAATTAAATATCTCCTTTAATGAAATATCTGTGGAAGCTTCATTACTTTGATATTCCACTTCTAGAATAGGATTATCATCAATATTGAGATTCTCATATATTAACATTAAATTTCCTACCAATTCTAACAACAGCTCATATGAATTGACAAGTGTTTTTTGCCTTTTTGCTTTAATATTTGCCATTTGATTTATATTATCACTAATACTGAGTTTTCCTAAATAGCTATTATATCCTTCTTCTTATATAATAGCACTTCATATAATTGATTAAGCATTTTGGAATTATTTGCCATGATTGCTATAATAAAGTAATATATTTAATGCGAAAAATTTTGAGTCTGGAATACAGATCATCATCATAGAGTAGTGATCACTAGCTCAGAAGAATTTGCTGATCTATACACAGCGTCTGTCTTTTTTCGAATGAATGAGAAAAAAGGAATTTAAAAATTTTTCGATTAGCAGAGGTTGGGACTGACCCCAAAATTTCCGATACTAATAATATATTTTGCTAATTGTGATATAGATGTGATACTAGTTAGATCAAAATATTTATCAAAATAATATGTATCACATGCTACATCTCAAACTATATATTTATTTTTCGCATATATTAATAAAAAAATGACTTTTGCAAGTAGATATGATATGATATGCAAAAAAATATATAGTCATAGAACTGCCATTCCAAGGCTATAAACAATTTATTTATATCATAATCATGCCTTAAATTCACGCTAGAGCCAATATATGTTTTGACCCTAAAATACTCATCTTGGTAAATGCATCATATAATGCATCCAGTCTATGCTTCGAAGGAGATAAATTCAAATGATAGAGGAATTTCATAAGCATATTATTCCTCTAAGCTTTCATTTCTTTATGCTTCCAAGTTATTTCTATTAGCGTAGATAAGTTATTACTGGAATAGTTTATTTGGATTGAATTCTGAAGCGAGGACTGTCTATTTTTTTTCAGGGTAAATAAACACATTTCTCCTACAACAGCAGACTCTACACTAATAATAAAATTTTTACGAATATCTGCTCTAAGTGCTAAGACAGATAAAGGCAAAATTAAGGCTGAATAGTAAAAGTCAGCTAGGGGATCTAATTCAAATTCACTGATTTATGTAATTCCAATATCTTCTAAATAATCCAAAAGTTTATTAGTATATCTGTAACCTTCACGAATCAACTTCTGGAATAGCTTTCCATTTTAGTCAACCCATCGGCCTATTAAAATATTGAGAACTGTTTTTTGCATGTCCATAGAAATGAAGTATTATAATGTGATATGCATTTTTCATTTATGGTATACTTTTTCCACCAAAGTTCAATTTGGATTTTAAAATTTGAATTCTATAATGAGAAAGGTGTAAGAATATAATAAATGAATCGTATTACCTGCTCACATATTAGAAAAGATGGAAGCACTTGTGGCTGAGTCTGCATCCGCTTGGCGGGATACTCACTTCACTGGAAATCGGACGTAAATAATATGCTAAAATCTTCATGTAGAATATGTGATAAACCTACATTATCTTATATAGGCTATTGCTCCAAGAATACCAAAAAAATTTATCGTCATCTTGAAAGAGAAAGGCAACTAGAGTCTTATCACAGCCGAAAGGGATGTATTACTCCAGAATACTAACTGGTGCTGTTTTAAACATTTGTTTCAAACTATGTATTTATTTTTTTGCATGTAATAATAAAAAATTTCTTGACAAAACCGTTAACAATGTTCACGATCAGCCAAAATGGCCTACATATTTTTCTGATTTTAAATACTAGCATTATAGAGCATTAAAATATTATTATATCATCTAAACTTGATTCATTAAGACAACGCATCATTGAGCTTGAGGCTGAGAATGTTGAAGTTAAGGCCAAATATATCAAGGTTATGAATAAGAATGCAAAGGTCAAGGCTGAGAATGCAAAGTTAAGGTACGCTTTAGAAGAACATGAAGCTAAATTCATGAGATTAGAGTAGAGAGATAAAGAAAAGACCAACCTTATTGCTAAAATGGATGATGACATTAAGGAAATCAAATAATCATCAGCCAATGCCAGCTTTGTCGAGAACCCCAACAATATTGTTCACCTGGATAAACTAGAAAAGATGGCAAACCCATTAAATACATCTGATAGTACATTTAATTCTAATATATTCAAACCTATTCGTACAGAAACTAAGTTATTGGTGTATAAAGAGATGGATGATTTCTTGGATGAGGTACATAAGAAAAGGGTTAGTGATGAGATAAGGTAATATAACAAAGAGAAGAAAATTCAGCATGAGTCAACTGTCCCTTCTGACTTATTATGTGTTACAGAAACTTCTCTAAGAAATCATGATGAAAATGAAAGTAACACAAAAACTGTGAACATTGTTATCAATCAAGAAAAGATTTTATTGGAAGACTCTGTGCAAAAAATGCCTGAAAGACTTAATGGGAATGTTTCCCAAAGAGAATCAGATTCAGGCTTAGTAATTGAAATTATACGAGACTTATACAAGGATTTCTGGTGGATGATTTCCAGAGGGAATTTATTAATACCGAATTTATTAATAGAAAGCATTCTAATTCTTCACCTGTCATAGAAGAGTTTGCCCGTTTATTTTATCAAGCGAGTATAGTAAGAAAAAATTCAATCAAAGCTAAGCAGGAAGAGATTTTATCTTAGGGTTGCTACTCTGAAAGATTTGAAAATAAGCTCATGAAGCTCAGATCTGAAGATAAAAATCTTAAGGATAAGATAGCAAGGTCCCAGATTTATAATGAAATAAAACCATACCTTTTAGGTATTTCTGATGAATATTTGCGTAAGATAACAAGCAAAGCAAGGAAGATCAATAAGCTATTTGAATATGATTACAATCTTATAACTCTGAAAAAGATTAAAGATATAGGATGGCATATGGTTAATCGGGTTACCTATAGTGCTGACAGTATTTCCAGACTCACTAATCTTCAAATTCAATATATTATAGATCAAGTGAACTTAACTGTCACCAATAAAACTGTGAATAATATTCACGATCAGAGTCATGTGACTTTGGAAATGATCACTAGTGATACAACTGCACTGCTGAGCATAGGTTGTATAACTAGCGAAAAAATCATAAATGCATCTCAAATCATACCAGCTGAAGTACCAGCATTCTCTCAGCCAAATGCTTTACCAGAAATGATTTCATCAGACATGTTTCAAGCAAGTGTATCATCTGCATCCCAATCTAAGCCAGTTTATGATCATTTCTATTTTCGTAACATGATATTAGATCAATATCCTAATCTATATAGAGAATGTAGTAGTGAAAATTTTGATTATTATGGGATTACTAATGAGATGTCATGTAGACTATATCTGCCCATTATGCAAATTAGGTCATGATGATGAAGAAATAAAAGGTAGGTATAAAGCAGGATCTTACTTTATTAAATGTGAACAGCGTAAAATTGAGATAGTTGTGTAGTCTCATCACTTTACAATAGTCTGGGAATTTTAATCTTTTTTTCAAATGAATAGGTCTATATGAGAAAAATGGGATTTAAATTGTTTGCAGTTATATAAAAAGGAAAATAACTGAGTTTGTTAAAATACTAACCGCTGATTATCTGGATTGGCATGCCAAATCAACTGGGTTACCAAGTATTTTGACAGATAAGATTCGTTCCAAATTATACAAAAGATATAAAAAAGAAACTGGAAATGAGCCATGGCAATTATCAGAAGTCCGCCTTCTCATAAATTCGAAGCCAGAAAACAAAGTATCTGATTTATCTTTTTCTGAGCAATGTGAAGAAAAAGGGCCTATCACTTTCGAAGTCAAACCTTATTCAGAACTAATTATCAGATCCGTGTTAGAGCATTTCATATACTTGAAATTCCGAAATAGTTTTAGGGAAATTGATAATTATAATTTTGCATCACCTCAGTCATGAAGCTCATCATGTCCTATTTGCGATGGAAAATATGGGAATTATGGATTACATGGCTCATGGTACTGCAAAAATGGGAATCAGCTCTCTTATGATCCTAAATTATCGAAGTTGTATTCCCAAGATAAGTTGGAATATTGTCTTACCTGCAACACTTCAAGCAATAAACTTAAGTTCGCAATTGTAGCATAAAGCAGTCATGTGAGAGACTATCACCCAACGCAGTATGATATCGATGAAAGATTTGCTTTATCTTCTGAATAAGCAGTATGAAAAAATGCCAGCGAAAAAAAAATATTGGAGAGGAAACTTCCGGACAAGATATTTATGTGTTATGCATTTGCAAGGAAGCAACAAGCTAATAGACAATTTTTTTCATTTAGGATTTCGAAAATCATATTAGTATCACGGAAGGGCTAACAGTATAATGCTTCGCTCATATGAAAATTTTTTATCATTTTAGTTTTAAGTAGTGTTATCATGTAGCCTATATTATGTACTTTTTTTCTCATACAATCAATAAAGCAAAGACCAAATTTATTAGTTATTGGGTTATGGGAAGCATGTATGCTAATATTTTTTCGATCAAGTTTATTGTAACAAAGTCATTGATCCAGAACCCGATAAATGTGCAGTATCATTTATTATGTCTCATGTATCACAAGAACAAGCAACTGCGTAAAATAATTTATTCTCAAACTTTCTCGCATATTCTTAAAATTATTACGTATATTATTATTAAAAAGGACCTCTTGATGATCTTTACATATGGATAGTGTTAAATTCTTTTATTGTTAAATTAAGGAGAGACTGTTGATCAGATTTTCATGATGCGGTCATATTAATGTAATTCTCCTCAAAAGCATATACCAAAATTGATCCTGTAAATTATATAAAAAGGTGATACTCCCAGTTAATAAATCGATCAGTCATGTGACTTTGAAAAGTATATCGTCATTCTTTTTATATTTTCACGTTAAAGCAATGCTAATTTTAACAATTTTTTTTCTAAATTAAATGTCTAAAGTTAATTATATGAATTATTTCACAAAAAAACATTAAGACTAGGATGTTATTGATTTTTTAGAAAAATGCGATCTTGAACCGTTTGATAAGAAAGTAAATCGATATATCAGGTGCCTCGACTTTATAGCTAATGACAAAGATGAGCAAGTATGCAGAAGGAGAAAGGCTGATGCTCTTCTTAAGAGATATAATAGGGACGTAAGTATTTTGTTTAAGAAATGGGAACAAAAAATAAGTGGCGTGGCAGGGGTCACGGATTACTCAGCTCTTGTCATTCAAGGCTGATATATATGTATATTCGCTGAGCCACAAAACCAATGCGAGGCACTAATAGTCCAGTTACTAACCCAATCCAGCTATTTGATGTTCAAGGCCAAGTGCTTGTAAGCATCTCGCTAACCTAGCAGTAGTCCCACCAGGACATAAACAGCCCAATTCGGTTATCTTATGTTCAAGGCTAAGTGCTTATAAGCACTTCGCTGACCTAATGGGATGGAATCAGATGGGAGTAATATTGCTAATTAAGAATATTACTAACTCGAGTCTTCTTTGCTAGGGTTCTAAACTTGACCAAAAACATGCCAAAGATTGGGAACAGAAACACAAATCAAGCATAACAGGTAGTGATTCCTCAATCATCATCTACAATTCGACACTATCAGAGAACTCGTTGTCAGAAACTCTTTAGGAATTGGTTCCATTGCTAGAAGCTCTGTTAATGAAATGGTACAGATGGGTTATTTTTAGTCGGAAAGTTGGAAAATGGCAAAACTAATTATTTATGTTGCAGGCCCGTCCAACTTTTGATGTTCAAGTCCTGCGAACGCCTGAGCATCAAATGTTATCTTCAAGTTCCTCTGTTCCCTTAACTATAAGAAACGAAAGTGACGAAGAAACAAACACAGACAGTGATGGGTCTGACAGTGATAAGTGAGATCTTAAGAATCTTATGTTTGATGAATACGTGGATGGTGACGATGATGAAGAGACTCCTAATTACAATGATGATGAGATCAATGTGAAAGCTGAACAGGACAAGCAGGGAAGCAGGTTAATTATCGAAGAAATAAATAAGATGAAAGCAGAATATTCAGAAAGATACCATAAGATATGTCTAGAGAACAAATGGAAGTTACCTTCTGGAAAGTTTGCAGAGAATATTCTCTATCAGTACACACTAAATTTAGAATACGAAAGGTAAATAATTTAAGCTAAAGTAATGTACAGAGTTTATTATACTGTAATCACAACTAATCTATAAAGTTTTGCTATCAGCTACTTGCACAGCTTTATAATTGATACAAGCGATGAGACGATTATGAATCTTTTCAATGAACTTGACAGACATCACATTAATACATTGTTATACGAGTCAATTACGAAGTCTACTGACTGAAAAATAGACTTCAACACGTATAGCAAGGTTTTAGGTATCTGAAGGATAATAACTTAATTTAATAACTTTAA